CGCCGGACTTATTTGGGGGACTGGATATTTGGATATAGGAGTCTGTCTCCCAGAACTTTTAGGGTGTTATGATTCACTCGCTCACTAACCCTCTTATAAAAGGATTCCTCCGGTGTATAATCTGTCCGTCCACGACTTTCAGTCCCTTCCTTCGACTACTGTCCCACTCCACCGTCTAAGGGCTTCATTTCCTTGGGTTAGAGAAAAAAAGACTTGCCCTGGAAAATTCTTTCCAACCCGAGCCCACAACCATGTATGGGGCTACCTTTGAAATTCGTGAAGGGAATTTATGTAGGCGCAAACTCCCCACCTAGTGGTACTCCATTGAACAAAACTAGACTGCGCATATGACCTTTTACTCCAGTAGCGACCGCTTCTCGGGCAGAAGCAATAGACAACAGTCTCCGTGCGCTCATCCTCCGAACAATTTGATTGCACTCGCCGGACGCCTCGGCAGCGATCGATACTCAACCGTCCATGGTTCTACTTCGTTTCGTTCTAACCCAAACCGTCTTTGAGAATAAATTGAATTTTGGCAAGCAGGAGTATGCTTTCGACACCTCCACTCTACTCTGATACTTTGAAGTGGCCGTTGCCTTCGTCAAGTCCTTTCCTAACGGTCTCTTTGCTGAAATGCATGTTCGTCCGTTCTGATAGCCTAGAGGATCCGCAAGAATAACGCGCCACAAGTCTCTGCACCCAGTCTTGGTGCGCACTTGGTGCACTCTTGTCGTGGTGTGCAATATGCATGCGGGTAGAACGACACTCCTCCGCATAATTTGGCGTTGGTACGTCCGCTACGCTTCCTGAGCTCTTCTCGGCATACTCTTCGGGTCTGAACGCGAGTGATACACGCCGTCATGTAGTGCGCAGTCAGCTTGAGGTCCGTGGCCAGAGGACCCTGCGTCCAGACCCGGCCTTTTCTCAATCAATCTCAATATGCAGCCAAAACACGGGATGAAGACTAAACTTCCAATGGTTTTTTCTGACTATCCGCACTCCTTAAACGAACTTCCGTGGAGCAGGTAGCCTGAGATGAATGCCGGAAGGAATTCCGCTTAAAAGGACGAAGTGACTTTTCTTGGCAATTCACCTCGAATTTGGAGAACAGATGCTTCAAGCCTCAAGAGTGATGAAATAATGACGTGCCCCTCCCAGATTGCAAACAAGTGTTCGACTGGATTCAATGGAGTATATGATAAGTTTCATTTATGGACAATGCTGCCAGGATATAGTTATTTCAGACTAAACCTCCGGCAACACCTTGTAAGCGCCAAGAGGGGGGGGGAGAATCAAGTTTAACCGAAGGCCTCCAGAAGTGAGCATTCGACTCAGACAGCGCACACCAGCCCTTGCCGGCAATGCTTTCGAACATTGATTAGTAATCGCTGTGCGACCGTCTGTATGAATCCTAGATTCCACACATGACACGGGGTCCAGAAGGATGCGGGAAGATAGAGTGTCGTATATGCTGCGCAATTCTATTATCACTGTAAACTAATTAACGCGCAAGTCATTTTCGCAACGCCCGTCATGCGGTAAGCATCGGCAGTAACGACGAATGAACGATTAAGTCCTAGGGCCGTGCTCCAGGACAAGAGGGGACGTTCGTGTATGACCCATGAATCAAGACAGATCAGTGAACGTCGCTCCTCTGAGACAAGTGGCAGTTTTTACGATCAGGCGTTACCACCTCCCTAAGGTGTGAACAAAGCACAGCCAACAGGTTGCAGCGAGGGCGAGGGTGGGGGGACAAACAGTGATAATAGGATACACCAACAGGATCACCTCTCAGGACAAAACTCACCATCCCGGTTTCTTTGTTTCGCAGATCCCCTTTAAAAGTACCATGCCTCTAAACAATCAAACAGACATGCACACAAGTACACAAAAAGCTGCAAAATGTACACAATGTGGTCAAGCCTGTGCGGGAGCATTTCCGCCAAAAAAATTGGCTACCGCAGGGAGGGGGTGGGGCAGGAACGTAGAAAAACTATGTCTTCTTTGGATGAATCGATTCTTCCGCGGAGAGAAGAGCGAACACGTCCTTCTTCATTGCGTGTAGTTGGTCCACAAAGTGGGGGCGACCATAGCGTTGGAAATGGAGGGCATCACCTGGCGGTAGCTTCACGTTAGCCATTTTATCCTCACCACTTATGCGGCGCGCCGTAACAACGTCCAGGGGAGGGCCGCCCTCGGTCATAGCCGGCGTATTCGCATTGGCACCAACGATGATCATAGTGTGCTCGAACTGCGCTGATCGCTGGCCGTCGATGGTCACCGCGGTCCACTTATCTGGCCATAGCTCGTCACGCCAGGTGCCCTCGTTGATCATGGGTTCGATGGTGAAACAATGACCCACCTTCATTACACCCACGGCCTTGTTGGCTACGGTGCATGGACAAAAAGAGCCAGGAAGCCACATGTAAACAAAGAACTCGGGAATCAGTTGCAAACGGTTGAAATAACAAGATCGGTAGGCCTGATGGTAGGCGACAAAAGCAACGGCAATACGTCCAAATGGCGAAGCACATGAGGACAAAGGGCGTCATGCGAGGCTCTCACAGTCGTAAACCAAAACTTAGTCGACAGATTTTCATCAGGTTGTGGTTAAGGAGAGACCTTCGGCGCATCAACTTCTCTTCGCGAACCCACCATGCTCCATTGCAAAGGCAGTGTCTGACCGCGCTTTCACCCCCGTCTCCGGGTGCGACACTTTCTACCTCCTAAAGTGTTGCCATGAGGCCACACTGTGGGGCCGCAGAAACCTGGCCCTCAGGTCCTAGGTATCCGCTGGTTGGAAACCTTCTAAGTCAAAACCTCCAGAGTCCCGTTGTAGCTCGAAAGCGGCCAGATTTGCAGTAGTTATTGAGATGGACCAGTCCAACTGTCTACTATCTCCAGCCGCACACCGGTGACAACACGCGTGGGGTTAAGTTGGAGGCCCTAAAATCCCCTTGCCGTTTGCTACACAACGCTTCCAAGGGAATTCAAAGCCGTCAACTAGATAATCAGACTATAAATTCCAAATAGCAGAACACGGTGGTTTTTAAAAGGACTGCTACTGCGAGGAGGCCACGCTTTAGAAGAGCAGTCGGCAAAATAACGACCAGGGAGCCATGAAAACACTCAGCTTATAAACCAAATTGGAGAGATTCCGTAGTACAGGCTAGAAAATAGCGATTAGCAGCATTGTTGACGAGAGAAGGTGAGACAAGACCTGCGAAAGCCAGTGACGGTCCCACATTGCGAGGTTCTCTGGCGTAATTCCTCAAGCACCCCGACAGTTCTACGCTCGATTTTGACTATGTCTACCGCCTGTCCCACAGTCGGGTGGGCGCGGTAACGGTAAATTGCGCGTTAATTAACTTATGGTGCTGGTAGACTTTCGCAACACCTATCACAATCTCTCACCCTCTCCCACATAGAGGCGGTGTCATGACAGTCAGGAAGACCGCAGATGGAAGGGGGCGCAGGTGCGGCGGTAACCCGCACCTAAGCGTATCATCCCGTCAGTTCGAATGCCACGGAGGGGCAGAGCAACTTCGGCCTGATTCTCGGTCCACCAGACTCCAAACAAACACACACTGGACTGACTAGGAAGTCCAAATTATCCCCTCAGTTGGCAGCCTTCCAAGCCACGGTTTTCGACGCACCGTGATAGGTTCAAGTGCGCAAGATTTTTAACAGTGATGAGTACGCACTGAGACAGTCAACCTAACTCTCCCTCTCCACTACCAGGCATCAGTTTACTGCCAGAGCCGGTCAGCTATTCGATGCGTGGATTGAGCGCGGTGACTGACAGAGCTAGGGAGCTCATCTGCGTGTGCCACATACACGACCTGACCCACAAAACGAACCAGGATTTCATATAAAAGAGAGGGCGGGAAGCTCAGATCTCATTTGTCTGAGAGTGCCATAGAGGCCAAATCAAGAAGGAATCATCACAGTCTATCACTTCACGTAAACACACACACGCTGGATTAACCACGAGGCTTGAGTTGAATCGTCACTTAACAACCTCCCAGGCAGCGGCTTTTAACGCACCGTGATAGTCTCAAGCGTACTACATTGGTTAGTGAGGAATATGCCCTGCAAGTCGACCCCACTCTCCGCCCTTCTCTGTGTGCCAGTCAATTGTTCAAGCCGGTCACCCAACTGATGTTAGGCATTAGAAGATGTTATGGCAGTGGGCGTTCACCGATCGGGTTACGGAACGTGCTCGTTCCGTTGTGCCTTGGGGCTCATACTAGAACCCTCGCAGGCAGTCGCACAGCGACTAGTAGTAGAAGTAAATGACATAATAACGACAAAGACAAGGGAGACCGCAATGGCCATTTCCGGCTTATTAGCCGTCATCAGCCAGTCATACCCAACCCCAAGTGTGGATCACTTGAGATTCGAACCCGGGATCTTTGGTCATGGAGTCTGAGGCTCCACCATTGAGCCACGGGCCCGTTGTCCTGTCGGTTGTGATCGGGAATATCAATTATGACAGTGGGCGTTCACCGATCGGGTTACGGGACGTGCTCGTTCCGTTGTGCCTTGGGGCTCATACTAGAACCCTCGCAGGCAGTCGCACAGCGACTAGTGGCATATGTTGATAAGGTGATACTGAGCACGTTCCGTAACCCTATCGGTGAGCGCCCATCTGTCATAATTGATATTCCGGATCACAACCGACAGGGCAACGGGCCCGTGGCTCAATGGTAGAGCCTCAAACTCCATGACCAAAGATCCCGGGTTCGAATCTCAAGTGATCCACACTTGGGGTTGGGTATGACTGGCTGATGACGGCTAATAAGCCAGAAATGGCCATTCCGGTCTCCCTTGTCTTTGTCGGTATCACCTTATCAACATCAGAAGATGTTGCTGACAGAACTGAAAACAGCCCGTCTGCGTGCGCCACACACACACGACCTAGCTCCACACAACACACCGGGATTGCACACGAGGAGGATGAAATGCTCGGATCTTACATGCAGCAGAGGGGTCAGCATCAGCTTACTGTGTCAGATTTGGTGGATTCCATACGTGGCAGTAGGTTGGGCGGATAAACTTGACCCAAATGTGACTAAACTCGCGTCGTTCGGTGGAGCCTCGTAGCTCAGGTGGCTAGGGCGTTGGCTGTACTAAAGCCTCCCCTTGTTGTTGTGGGTTCGAATCCCACCGAGGCACTGAGTCGTTCACAGTTGAGCCAAAGTGAATTATTTGAAATCTGCCATAACGTATACCTAGATTATCGGAATGCTCACTGAAGATCACACTTTTAAACAGATTTGGATTAGTAGGAAGCCTGCCTGACACAACGAAGAGCGCCACCACTCCAATCGATCAACGAGCGGTGTGCGAATAAAATTATGGAAGGGGGGGGGCTGGCCAGCACTTAATTCACTCTCCTCGCAGAAACTGGTAAGTTCAAATGCCAACACGAGATGAAAACTACCGAAGATGGGTATCGACGGGAGACTAATCCGAAATTAAAATCAGCCGGGGTGCCATGACGCAGCTGGTTTCTCATAGCCAAGCCGGACATCACATAAACATCCATCAGCGTTGGAGAAACATAGCGGCTACCCGTATTCTGGCTTCGTTGCTAGTCGAGACAGTTATCGGGGGTGTGGCCGCGGCATGCAATGTATTTTATGGAACCACAGATGAGAGCTGGCCGCCAAACAGGACCAGTGTGAAGTGACTGCCTCGCGTAGATATGCATTCGGTGGCAAAACATACTATAGTTCGACCGCCACTAACAAGGTTCACGACTGCCCCACAACGTGGACGCAGCCGTGGCTTGCATACAAACTCCTGTCTAGCGGAGGTGACTCGTGGTGCTCTCCACTCCATGTGTATCCGGTTTCATTCAGGAGTGTCTCAGGTTCCGCACAAATGAGGAGGCCATAAGGGCCGCACCCAGGAGCCATTGTAGACTGGCTCTCATTCTTGAGTAGGATCTAATTATTCCGTCAATTGGCAACCCTCTAATCCACGGCTACTAGCGTGTATGGTCATCTATTGTGAGGAACTAAGAGCTGGACCGGCCTTACTCCCTCTGCCCTCCCTCCCTCCCATAAACTAATAATTTCTGAGTAAAGTGGCTGAGGAGAGTTAAGCACAGTTGCTGAGGTGACGTGAAGTCAACGCCTAGCGCCTGCCACACACGGGATCTCGTAATACGCAATGACGCAATAGAAGGCATGATGAGGAAGAAGGGCCAAAGGATGGGTTTGGGGCAAATTACCGGTGTAGTGGGGAATGTTTGGAGGGCAGTGGAAGAGCCGATGTACTCCGTGGCCACAGTATGTTCGCACCACCGAGAAGCCGCCAGAATTGGCCTGTTGCGAGATGACGTCCCCCATATCCCGGTACTTCACGCCAACGGCAACTAAAGAAAAGAAATCAAAATTATGGATGGGCGTGGTGGAGCGGAAAGTTAGCCACTGTGGCCAAAAGGTCACAAAATGAGCGAAAATGCAAACAGAAGTTATGCACTTTTAGTTCTTGTCTCACTAAGATGCAAATGACTGGTCTTCGAACGGTATCATTTGAGCTGAAGTAGTGCCATGATCAGATGAACGAAAAACTAGCTGTCATAAAGGGATGAAAAAGGACGCGCAGAAATGTTTGCGAGCACGACTTTGTCATGTTCATAGAGTGCTCAACACAGTCTCCTCAAGAGGAGAAGAAAGAAGAAGAAGATGAAGAAGAAGAAGATGAAGAAGAAGGAGAAGAAGAAGAAGAAGAAGAAGAGGAAGAAGAGGAAGAAGAGGAAGAGGAGGAAGAAGAGGAAGAAGAGGAAGAAGAGGAAGAAGAGGAAGAAGAAGAAGAAGAAGAAGAAGAAGAAGAAGAAGAAGAAGAAGAAGAAGAGGAAGAAGAGGAAGAAGAGGAAGAAGAGGAAGAAGAGGAAGAAGAGGAAGAAGAGGAAGAAGAAGAAGAAGAAGAAGAAGAAGAAGAAGAAGAGGAAGAAGAAGAAGAAGAATTACTCATGCCTACCCAGTTGCAGGATGGAGTACGAGCCTTTCTTTTTGCCTTAGAAACCGGGTTTGCAGACCTCGCAGGCAGTTGCATGACGACAAAAAATCGGTTGTGAGCTAGTGCTGCTCATAAGTAGTAGGTGAGTTGGCACGGCCGTTTCTGGCTTATTTGCTATTGTTGGTTAACTCTACCTGCATGAACCTGAGAGAGCTGCATGTCGAAACTTAAAATTTAAACGAAGGACCAGTGTTTAGTCCATTAATGAGGATTGGTCAGTGGGCATTACTTAAGCTTCTTCGAATAATACTGATCGCAGTTGACAGTGTAGGCCCATGGCCTGCGTGGCGGAACATCTGACTCACTGAAAAAGGGTCCCGAACTCGGATCCTGGATTGAGGTTGGAACATGGCTCGCTGGCGACGACAAATAAACCAAAAATGTCTATTCGGTCCCCCCCCCCCCCCCCAATTATTACCGGCTGCACTTCTCTCGGAAAGACGCCGTTGATACACGTCGATGGCTAAAGGGACAGTGAGTCTTCTAACCATGTATCACCCTAGCTACTTTCGTCAACTCAACCGCAGAAGGCGAAAATGGAACTTTACGCGCCAAGAGGGGGTTGATAGTCACCACTTATGCGCCTCGTTCCTCGATTGCTAATCTAGACCTGCGGCATCTCCGCAAGTACACTAGATCGGTGTGAATTCATTTTAATGCTTAGCTTCACTATCAGATAAACCCAGGTTCAAATCTCGAATATGGAGTTGAGTCACCATCGACCGACGACGGCTAATGAGCTACAGATGGCTATTCCAATGTCCACAATCACTGATGGTAGTCTACCAGTCATTTGACCACACAGAATGGGATCTTCCGGGAGTCGCCAACTCACCCGAGAGACAATAATGAGCACGCAATCATAGTGAGGTTGCGGGCGTCAGTACAGAAGCTTGCCATATGAGGATGGACGGTGACTTAAGGAATAAATTCCGGAAGAAATTCCATGCTTCTGTCGACTCTCTGACGAAAGAGAAAAATTTCACAATTCTTAGCCTTGCGTAACTGTCTGTCTGCCATTTGCAACGCGATAGAGAGCTCATTCTAGCCCATGCAAATAAGGGCCAGTTGCTTCTAAATATTGTCTAAAACACAGTGCTATCTCAGGAATCCTCAACCCTCAATATTTAATTTATGTTGTTAGAATTCTCAAGACATTTCAATTTTATACGCACAGACACAACTTAACAAGCCTCAGCGACAAAAAATGAGGGCGGCCGAAGATTCGACCTCCAGTCCACTGGACTTGACATTCTATCAGTTTAATCGCTAGTCCACGCTCCTATGATTGCGATCGGGAGTGATCAAAGTCGCGTGAAAGCCGCTTTAATTTATAGGCCCAACTGACCTGGGCTGAAACCGCAGGTCTTCACGATCTTAAGTTAGGATGTGGTTGACCGACGACAGCAAATACACCCGAAGTAATCCTCCTTTTTGTCAACACTACCTTTCGATTGTCACTCCTAGCTATTCAACCGCCTTTGAGGGTTTAAGACGGGAACTCCATGGCGACGACTGTGTCCCGTCCTGCAAGCAGGACAAGTTGATGGACTCGAAACAGTCGCGGTCAATCACGGTAGTCAAGGGATAGGTGACTGAAACATCAATAGATTTCTCCACCAGAAGAGCAGATGATGCTCATTACCCTCCCAACTGCAAAGTGCAGTTGGGATTTATTCGCGTTCGCGCAACTGGCAAACACTGGAGAGGTCGCCTGAACGTGCTGTTAACGGATGAAGTATGCAATCACAAGCTACTCATCTAAAGGATGGGACTATAGATAAGACTACCCAGATCCAATAGACATGAGAAACTCCGGTGAGAATTAACTTTCGTTTACTTGACCCCGGGGAGAAAAGCGCCGTCAAGCAGGACAACAGACGACAGCACATTTTTGAAAAAAAAGGGGGCAAAAATGTTGGAAACAGCTGGGGTACATTGTACGGCGCAGTCGAGGCTACCGATCGTTGAACCCAGACGCGGCGATTCTAGGATTGCTTCATGGATGACGCAGAAATTAGGCACTTTTACGTCCAGAAAATGAAACTTTGTTGATGAAAAGAATGACATAACACCAAAGGAAAACAGCATTTGTCAGGTGCCTACGGCAACTGAAGAAACTGAAGCAGACGTAAAAAACCCTGACTGAACAGCAAAACTTAGGAAGTGTAAAAGTATGCTAGAAGTCGTGAGACGGGTTTTTGGTGAACATTAAGGTGGCATACAGGTCACGATGCATAACAACCTCATTTCTGCTCATCGTAAACCGTCCATGGTACTCCCAGAAGAGTAGCAGATCTTGAGCCCCTGGATTTAACATTTTCGAACTATCCTCAGTGGGCCGTATACAATACATGGGAAGGCAGGCGACAAGGCTCAAAATTAGAACTGAACGCCGACCTCAACCGACTGTCCTCTCTCCCCTCCCCACACCCATCCTACGCGGGACGATTAAAACACTGCAGTTGCTGCTAAATAGAAAGGTAATCACTACCGACTTGATCTCGCTGAGGTCCGCAAATATGGTAGTTCTCAGACACTAGGAAACTGCGTCACTTGGTTCAGATGAGAAAGGCGAAGAATAATGTCTCGGGCTGTGTTAAAACTAGAGCTGTAGTGGAAACCAGAGTTGGATACTATCATTGCCTTTCCAAGTAGAATATACTCTGGCAAACGTAGGTTAGACAGCTTGCCAGGCATCGTGCTTGGCCGTGGCTCTCAAGCAGTTCATTAGTCTTCTGAATCCCATTTACCTAGACTTCCAATAAAATTGCACGTATCGAACGGGACAGAACCTTAAATCATCTGGGTTTAGGCAACGTTCTTATGTTATACGTAAAATAATGTCGATCAAACAATCCTAAACAGAGAATTAAAATACACAGTCGAACTGCTGCCAAAAGAGGTGCATGGAAGGCGGCAATTAAAGTAATTCAACTAACCGGCATCCATTGACTTGGCCAAACATCGGTACGTATTCCTAACCAACCGGAGCGCTTTGTCGTCGGGCTCACCCACAAAAACCGTCTCGTTTACATCGCCGTGGAACCCTCCAAAATACGTTGTGATGTCGACTAGAGGGAGGAAGACCCATTTATAGAAAATGCAAAAACCGTCAAACAGCTGGCTTCTAACAAGAATAAGGAAAAACGTGTCACACGTAAACTGTATACACTGCGAAGAAGGGATGACAAATCGATCCTCCAGATACCTGCCAGTGGTTTTTTAAGGCAGAAGGCATTGCCCAAATCTCACTCATAAAACAGCCTTTGGACACTAGCCCCACCGAGGAGTCAATGCTCGCGTTTAATTCTGTTACACGAGGACGATCCGTCTCCAACGTTACTTAGAAGTCGCAACAACAAGATGGGGGAACGAAGCTGTGCAAGCAATTTTATTTGTACTTGGTACGGTTGCGATCATGTCTGGTCTACCCGGCCTCGATGTCACGGGCTGTACTACTCCACGCGCGACGATCCACGGCAGCAGGCCTGGACAGCTAAACCCATTCTCTTCGCCAGCGGGGGAGACCAAGTACCGAAGGTCCGATAACCACTTCCATGTCGTGACAGACTGCGTGGAGGCAAGTTTCGAATTGACCCCTTTTTCGACGCCTCCGGGTGGGTAACAGTGCCGGGTCGATGAAAATAACACTGAACTCGTGCAGTGAATGACGAGGAACCTGTAAAAACCAATGCAGTCGTCTTTCTTAGATGGCCTGAAATACCATTCCGATGTTGTCGCAGCGAGTGCAACCCGTCTCATTTGAGATGGAGTCGGTGTTCTTCACCCAGAGGGTGGTCCTTAAGCAGTAGTGGTCAAATACCTCCAGTTTTCTCCCATCTTCCACGTGCACAAGCATTCACAACCATACAGAAGGACTGACCAGACGGATGCGCGGTGCACGCAAATCTTCGTGGCGATCCGATATATAGGACAGTTGGAGGTATAGCTGGTGGACAATGTAATCAATCTTGCACTGTTGTGATAACGAGCGTCCACTAGATGGTCCCCCCCCCCTCATCACGTCATCCGAAAGGATTAGCTAATAAGCCTTGCTGGTTATCAATAATCATGCTTGACGTATCCTACTTTATTTTACATGGCAGCACCCCACCCTCCGCAGTAGTAAGCCAACTTACATATCTGAATGTCGTTGGTGTTCCTTGTCGCCTACCACGCTGCATTCGTTCTAGACTGTTGACACTTAAATTCCCAGTGATATACGAATAAACAGTTCAATAAGAGGTCCCGAAAGTTATATGACTTCAGGGAACACTGTTTCTTTAGCGATTTGTCCGGGGAACAGGGTGTTTCAACGGTTATATACAGGAAGAAATGAGAAAACTGAATCGTATGCAGTCAAGTTAGGGTGTCACAATGCAAGAATCTGTCCTATTAATAGCGATATCTGAATAACTGCAGGTTCTACAGAAATTAAGGCATATTGTGCAAGATCATTTGGTCGTCGGGGTAGACTTTTAAACAGACTGGACTAATATTCAAAGGCCGGTCTCTGAATTTGAGAATAGAAGGAAAACGGCTGCCTGATTAATTCAGACGCCTCATTATTGACTCCACAGACTAGAGTTGTTCGTCCACAATCGATTCTCTGATAGAACTGCAGTATCAAAGGCTGAGGTGTGTTTCGTCCTTACAAAGGGCAGAATCGTTCCATGGCCATAAGGCATGGCTTATGGTACTGCCGCCATGATGAGAAGTACAAAGCATGCTGATAATTTCTGGTGAGTGCTGACTGAGTCCTCCTAATTTGTAACATCCACTGAAAACAATCGGCTTTCAGGGTATAATTCTCCTTTTCAAGCCCTACTACGCGCAAGTATTTCCAGCTTATTAAATAGCATACAAATCCATTAGGCAACGGAGGCGTGAGACATCGAAGCACTATATATCTGTGCTTTGTTTCGTTCATATTCATGCTGTAAAAAAACTGTTGGAGTTAATTCGCAAGATTAGTATGCGCAAGTGAGAGTACACGCAAGTGTCCCATCCAGCACTGTTTCTGTGGACATAAAAAGGACTGCTAATGCAAAAATAGGCTACCTTAAAGCTGATAATCTCCGTTGACGGAGAGTGAGGCAGTACGCACAGGGTTACGAACGAAAGCAGACGTACTATTTAAAATGTCTCCGTTGGCGAGGGGTCGGGAATCAGGAATGCCGTGGCAGATGACCTCGTTGATGGAACTACACAAGGCATAAAGGCGGCATAAAGGAAAAGACCCAATGGCTTACGTGCAGCAGGATTTCGGAAACTTGAAGTAGTTCAGTGGAGAGGGATAGCATTCACGTTCAATGCAGGCCTGAAGTAAGAACGAAGAGAAAAAAACAGTCATAGTGATGACATCATATCAGCAATTTGTTACAGGTTTTGGAAATCATGTGTTTAAGAGGCCGAAATCGGGAGAGTCCGTAAAGGGTGACAAACAACGCAGTGGCTGAAATTCTCAAGTCTACAAAAAAATGACGACAGGGCCGTGATTCTTCAGTGCTCTTGCAAAAATACTGAGGGACTTAAAAATGCTGGCTGTAGGAAAAACAGCCACTTTTAGCGACCAAAGATGTAAGCTAAGATTAGTATTCGGAGGTATAATTTTCGCACGACCAAGGAGAAGATCAAAACAATATCAGGAGTCTAGGTGTTACTGTACGGTGGCGTAGAGGGGCCATGGAAACTCCAGATTAGTTGCACTAGCACGAGTTTATCTCAAAGGGTACTCAGACTGCATGGGGGATTTCTATATCCCAGAGGCACCCAGATGAGAAAGGGTGTGTAGACTAGCTTGTAATAGTATAACATGTACAGATCTAGCGGTCTGACCAGGCTCGATTCACTAAAAGTACACCAATCTCTATAGATAAAAATTATGCGGCTGCCAACCACTGCAAATGAATAGACACAAGACAGAATAAAGTAAAAAGATTAACTCGAGATAAGAATAAAGAAATACCTCGTGAACAATCCGATCAATTTCGTCCGTAGTGATTCCAACAGCAACAGCGTCTATAGCCGTATCGAGGACTTCACGAGCAAGCTAGGAGTGAGAGGGGAAAACGCTGTATCAATTAATATCTTCTCATGGTAAAATCAATAAAGACAGAAGGAAGAATGGTTGAATGTTTAGTGTACCTCGTGAAATAACAGCAATGAATGGAAGCGTTCACTAAAGAAATAAGAGCGGTTATTCGCAAGTTAAAAACAATATAGAGTTAATTCTTGATGATAAATCCATAACTTTTGAGAATAAAATAGCCTGATCGAGAAAGTATAGGTCGACTTTTAGCTTACCCTTCCGGTAACGCGCATCCCTTCTATTTCCTCGTCAGACAATGACACGATAGTGTGCGATCTTTTGGCATCGTTTTCCGAGATAGGAATACCTAATGGGTTTAGAAGATGGGACATTAATACCAGTTTCGGCATAATCCGGTCGGGGTATTGACTCAGGAACTGGTCGGTACGGTGACTAAATAGGAGCAGGCATTCGCATAAGCATACCGGGTAATTACCTTCTTCCCAGGTCTAAGGGTACCTGTAAACCGATAACCACTGAATACACTGTCGTACTCGCTTTCAGGCCATGTGAACTTTCCCTCTAATGAAGTAAAAAAACTGGTTATAAGTTTACCGGCGAGAAGGTGCAAGTTTTTATGCGTTTTCCAGTACTTTTTGAAACACTCCTGAAATACGTAAACATCTAATCAATAAATCTTACTTGATTACAAAAATAAGACCCTGTTATTCCCAGTTTTACACAAGTGGGGCACCGCAGGGTGGCTGTTTTCCCACAATCTGGCGTGACACACACGTTCGGCATTTCGAGAGTTTGATCAAACCCAAGGATGACACCAGAAAAGACCCAAAGCTGGTGCAGCGACAACCGGAGGACCAAGTGGGTGTAGGTAAACTTTTCAAAGTCACAGCCTCTGAAACCGTTAATTTATTCGAGACTGAGGGAGAGTACGACGTGTTTCGGCGAAAAGTCTATCCCTTATTTTAACCAACTAAAAACTACAACGTTTAGCCAGGCCTCCAGTGCAAAAAACTTCTCAACTTTCCGAATCCTTCCATCTTAGGGAAACTTTGGCCTTTCACACAATTCTTTTCAGGTGCTGGGCAGAGCTTGTGTAGTTAATGTATCGATTTCATAATCTGCAAAATATTTGTTTTTTTCATATATCAGCTAATAGTTCTGTGCTATCCTGTACTCTTCCAGTCATTGGAAACGGCAGCGAAAATCTGTCAGTGTCGGTCGCACATCATTTGGCTCTGAGTAAATTTATTTTCTTGTAGCTACTACAACCACAGAACATGTTTGTAGCATTATGTAGTACGGTATGAATTTAATCTTGGTAGGATCTGCAGACTAGGTGTGACAGGTCGAGCCAACCAGGGCAGTAGTCACCAAGTTGACACCCATGCCTTCCAGATCCAATTCCACCAGACAACTATGAGTTAATATGTTTGATGGCTATGCTAGACTAGCTCCGGATAACTTACGTACGCACAACATTTGCTAAAGGTGTACATATAGCAGACGGAAAGCTCCTGTTTGCCACTGCATGGCCCGAGTCTTAAGAAAGTGGACGCGAATGCTGCATAAGGTGCGCAAATGCCGAAATTCAGAGAAACTCGTTCAGACTATATTCTTAATACGTTAACGTTAAAAAAAGCCAATGCACATGAAGGACATTTAGGGACTGCATATGCCCCTGTGGTTTGTTTTCTGAACTGCTGACTTTAAGAAGTTCTACGCTACACTCAAAAATATCCCCCTGATTCTACACCATGAAAGTAACTGTGGATTTGTACTTCTTTGTTATGATGCTTTCCGTTCCCCATGTCCTCCTCCTTGTTTCAGTGCCGCAAATGAACTTATTCATTTGTAGCTGTCTGTTAGATTGCCACTACTAACTGCCATGTCCATTCCCAGTACTACGGAAACCTTTACAGCTACAGACCATCTCCAAGGTCCTACCGCCGTAGGGAGAGGGCACACTAGGCAAGAGACTACGAAAAACAATACTTGGAATGTGAGGACTAAGATATTTTGCTGAATTCACAGAGCTTATGTGTGGATGCACCCACCAATAACAGAATGAAAACTGGAAGTTAATTTTATAGGCCTCAGCAGTTTACGCACAATATGAATGCATGGCAAGTTAGTTTCTGGAGCTCTCGGTTCGGCTCAAAATAATGTCAAGTATATACGCAAACTAACAGGGGATACTGACAGGGCCCATGGTACGCTATAATAAACCTGTTCTATTCTATTCTTACCGTAACCACTTCTAGGCTTAGGTCGAGGTTAAATGCGCATCAAAGCACTCTGCTTGGGATTTTTCCAAGTGCTGAAAAACATGTCTACCTTGTCAGAAAATTCATAGGGGCCAATATTGCTGAAGCGTTGATTAATAGAAAGCAACTTCAGGAATATTATTTTTAAATTGAGTCTTGGTGGACAGATCGTAAGCCATAGCTTGGAACTGCGTAAAGCTAAAAGTATCAGAGCCCATACAGTTTTAAGCACTTTAACTTATGTCAACTCTTTAATCCGATCGAGCACACCGCAAAGAATTGAATCTCTGGAAAATGCTAGGACTATCAGCCAACTTGTGTTGGAACTACGCGAGAAATCGAACTTCCGCAAAGTTTTAGCCGTTAGGCATTTACGAAGAGCCTCTGTTGCCCATATTGGATTGTCAAGGGTCGATAAAAAAGTCCAGGACCTGGCTGTGATGAAATAAAGTGAATATCAGTCGTCCTCCATTGGGCGAGGCTCATCCTACTGCCTCGCATCCTCTTAACTAGCTGCCACCTTCGTAGCATCCTGTCAGACAGCTCTTATAAATGATTACTTAATAGATTGTTTTATCTAACACCAATAAGGATAATTTCACGGTAAGTAAAACTACATTTTCGAGGGAATTTAAGAGCGAATAGGCCAACACTACACAGCATTCAGTTTGTGATTTAAAAAGGACAGTCTGGTGTATAAGGCACCTAATGAACGGTGAATAAGCTCCTTCAAATATTTTTGTAAAAGATAAAATGAATGTCGTTTGATTAGTTTATAATGAGAAAAAACTGTCAATCATGGGAATGTGCATTTGCATGTGGGACAAGACCGTCCAACTTGTGGGAGTATATAAGGATTTGAATCGTTCCTCATAAAGGTAGATGAGGCTATTCGCCGCAGATGCGATCATAATATTTTTGGGCTGAAAGTCCAAGCAACCGTCAAGGGGGCATGAGAGGAGGGACACCGCTATCGGTCACAGCCCGCGAGACGAGTACATCAAAAGCTGCGAGGATCATGATACCTCGTGGCTGACAAAGCAAATTAGTGTGGGGTTACAAAAAAAGAGAAATCCTCTATGGTCGTTAACAGATTGATGGGGTCGTAATGAGAAAATAACACTAACAACCGCGAATTTCTAGTCAAACGGGTGAGGCATCTATTAACTGTCATTAAATCTCAGGAAGATCAGTTGCAATATAATAAAGTTAGGTGTTTGAGACCGAAGTGGTCAAAGGTGAATTCATGCTTTCTGAGGTAAGACGGTTACTACTTGAATGCCAGCAGTGTATGCAACGTCCTTGGCTACAGTGAACGATTATTCCAAAGAAAAACATGCTTGGGGAAAAAAAGAGGGAGTGTTCAGACGTAGGGCAAAGAGGCGGTAGAATAACCCATGGAGGGATCTCGCGTGACACCAGACCGACCATTCCCAATGAGAGCGTCAATGTGCAGAAGATTACGGCCTCATTACCTAAGTTAATTCAGACATTTCAATGGTCCTAAGGAGAACTGATAACGACCTCATCGAAGGATCTTCGAGATGCTTCTGTAGCTTTTAAAGTCTGTTTGGAAGAAAGTGTGGGACAGCGGTGGAAGTGACACTCGATTTAAACGTCTTCCGTAGAATTACGTCAAGAACACCTTCTTTTGCGCATTCTAATAAATCGTTGAAAAAATATTGTGCTTATCAAGAGTGTATGTAAAATTATTAACTTATTCCTTGTTAATATTAACGTAGTCAAAGAAGCTACATTTTACTGTTAGCTTTGTGGAAATGGTAACTTGAAGGCGACAACGAATCAATATATGATCATTCGCAAAAAGGTAATGATAGAAATTCATAGATAGAGGGAAGGTGCCATAAGTAAAAATCAGATCTAGTACATTATCGCTTATGGTCGAAGAGTGGATTAATTGGGACAAGTTTTTAAAAGTGAAAAATGTCTAGAAGCATCTGAAATTTAGGAGAGGAAGTATGTTTGTGCCAGTCAATGTCTGGAAAGCTAAAATCGCCTCCCATGATCTTGACATCAGATAAAGTCGCTGCGACTTTTTCAAGTTCACAGAGTTGGCTTTCATCTACGGAATAACAAGGAGGATTATATAAACATCCGACTAAGGCTTTCCTATTTTGCGGAAGGATTACCGAAGCAAACAATACATTTCCGGAGAAGGAGGAAATGTTCAGATCGTAAGGCGACTGTGCAAGTGAGGCTCTGATGTAAAGAAGGCAACCGCCACAGCATCATTCGACATGATCCTGGCGGTATAAACTGAGGCTATCTATATTCAGTGCTGAGTCAGAAATTAGAGAGTGAGCCCAAGATTCTGTAATGCACAAAACATCTCGGTCAAACTCAACAGCCGCACTTCTTAGTTGCGACTTCTTTTGCACAACTGATCTTGCATTGACAGAGACAATACTGAGCGTATGCATAATATGTATGTTCCGCTCATTGCTACTTATAAAAAAGGGAGAGCTGGTGGTGGAAAATTAAGCTGTTGGGAAGCAGTAATTTGTGGAAGACAAAGTTGCTGTGATCGAAAATTTGAAGGGGAATTACCAATAACTAGAGACGCATTGTTGAATGGAAAAATATTTGAGCAGGACCCGGGAGGAGAGTGCTATTTTGCTGCGTTGGAAAAATAGGAGACATAAAAATAGGATTTTTGGGAATTTCGGGCATAATATGAGGCGTAGTTTATTTTAGACAACGGACTAAATGATTTCGAGAAATCGCTTACATTAGGAAAAGGGTTTATTATTCGGGGTGTCTGACTAGCCATCGGATTGGAAAAATTATCGGCAACGCTACATACTGTCCAAATGTTTACGTCGAAATAAATAACTCCAACCCACTTTCATTGGGAAAATGGGTTTAACTATGGCAGGTGGAGTTTTCATCGTCCAAATGTGGTTTTATATTTTTCTTTCCTACACAGCTTTCTGACCTCATAATTCTTCAAAATAACCGACTCTCCGAATGTTTTACAGTAAACAACATAGGCTATGTTAGAAAATAGGCCTGCTTTCTCAACCTATCCCGAACGAACATTTGAAAAGGCTGTACAGGAATGTGGGTTCATATCAAATAATGTTTTCCTCCCAGAAATGAAAGTAAAACTTTATCAAATGTCTGTTCTCCCCATCCTCGAGTACTGATGTCTTTGCTTTGGCTTAGTGTATGTCTGTGACCGTGTAAAATTCGAAAACGTTCAGAGAATTTTTACTCGAAATTTATTCCTTGTAATAGATCCGATATTTTTTATACTGAGGGATGTCCATTGGCGAACATTAAGTTTTTATGCGTTAGAAGACCCGAAGCTGGCCTTCGCTCCCTGTCTCGCATTAAATCTAGCCGCCATCTTCCGAGCATTGGCGCTCTCATTGAGAATGATCGGCCTAGTGTCACGCGAGATCTCTCCATGTGTTATTCTGCCGCCTCTTTGCCCTACATCTGAACACTCCCCCTTTTTTCCTCCAAATACTCTTTCCTTTGGAATAATCGTTCACTGTAGACTAGAACGTTGCATTAACTGTCGGCATTCAAGAATTAAGCGTGTTACCTCGGAAAACTTGGTCGTTTTGTGGCGAATCAATTTCCTTCATCTGTATGTTAATGGATCTTACACTGGACCTCCTTCAGACGATGAATTTTAAGACACCAACAAAAATTAGAGGTAATCAGAAACCCAACGGCTTGGAGCTAGGTCTGACAAAAACTTACCTAAAATTAACAAAATGTCTCCCAGCGCTCCCCTCAGTAGGAGTGGCCTTAGTACGCTACTGCATCATTGCGTACTCTATTCTCAACGCTATTGGAGAACGGAAGGCCAACGGAATACATAGAAGATAGATTTTAACATAATGAAGAACAAGCAGACATCCATTAATCGGGACTGTTTGCTCAAGGGGTATCGAAAAGCCGACTGGAGACCGTTGAAGAAGATTTCCCCATATCTGTTTCGGTTTAATTGCCCAAAGATGGCACGAGAAGCAAATATTTGTTCTGCCTCGCTTAAAACGGAACTTAAAAACAGTTTGGAAAGAAGAAAATAGAAGATATTCAGGGAAAATAAGGCATAATAATACCTTCAGTAATTCCGTCGATGACGAAATGCAATCAAAAATTTTGCCACTCAGGTGGGGAAATGCCATAAATCCAGAACTATCGGGCAGGCTGAACAACGGAACTAGATTTTATTCCCCTATATTAATAGTCGGTTGAAAAACGAGGATCCAGCCTCAGTACCAAACGATGATAGCGGTTCTGAAGTTGCTGAGGACGGTGAGAGAGCCGAACGATTAAGCCGAATCTTCGCCTCGGTATTCACCAAGGGAACTTACCTTTGGATTCGAAATACCAAAAGTGTTGTTGTAACAGGCTGTCACCTACTTGAATCAATACTTCCCTCGCATCTGTCTTAGAGAGACAGGTATAGGATCTAGAAGAAGCAAATTCATCGGATCCGGTCAAAAAACCGGCCAAGTTCAGTCAGTCAGTGTATTTGAGGGAAATAGACTTACGCCTTTAAACTCCCTATTTGTACATAAAAAAATCGATAAACAAATAAAAATGTGAAGAAATTAAAGCATTAAGTGAATGCATACATTGATTCACATATGTCACTAGTCACATGGCTAAAAAGGCACATAGTCCGCTTGTTGCTGCAGCATATATCTGTCAAGGTGACATTTAAATGTCTCCACAGATTGAGACATAACAATCGTCTCGGGCAGGTTATTCCACGGTTCCACGACACGGTTGGAGAAAAAATATTTTCTCACATTCAGTCTACCCTGTGGCACACGTAGCTTGAAGGGATGTCCCCGGAGGTGAGTTGTAGTGGCGAGTTGGAAAAAGTCATCACGCCGAAGGGCACAATCCAAGCCGCGCACGATACGGAAAGTTTGTATCATGTCTCCGCGCAACTGCCTATAACTCAGAGGATAGAGATTAAGGTTAGTTAAGCGGATCTCGTATGGCAGTGCACTTTGACCTCTTATTAATTTTGTTGCTCGTCTCTGCACCCTTTCGAGCAGATCGTAATCCTGATGCATCCACGGTCTCCAGGCCTGAATTGCGTATTCGAGATGGGGCCTTATAAACGTGCCGAAGACTTTGGTGAAGCAGTCTTCATCGAAAACTACGAATGCCCGCTTGATGGCATATAGCATTGAGGTTGCGGCCTTGGCCGTCTTACAGCATTGTGTAGAAGGCTTTAGGCTGTCTGCAACCCAGACTCCGAGATCTTTCTGAGTTTCTGCATCTCGAAGGGGTATTCCGTTCAGATGGTATTGCCGCGTACTAGGGGTTTGATTTCCGAGGCGCAGAATGGTGCATTTGTTCAAATTGAAGGACAAGAGCCATCTGCGGGACCACTCGTCCAATCGACAAAGATTTTCTAGGAAGTTGGTCTCATAGGCAGCATTCTGGATGACTTTCCAGATTTTTATGTCATCCGCAAACATGGCACAATCACAGTCCAACCCATCTACACAATCATTGATGAACAAGAGAAAGAGGGTTAGTCCGAGCACCGAGCCTTGTGGGACTCCACTCTCTATGGATGTGTACCTTGATTGCTGTTGTTCTACGCAGACAATTTGGGAGCGGCCGACAAGGAAATTTTCGATCCATTTGAGAAGTTTGCCACCGATGCCCATAATTCTCAACTTGTGTAGGAGACGCTGGTGCGGAACACTGTCAAACGCCTTCCGAAAATCAATATAGGCAACATGCACGGTGTGTTTTGCGTCCAGTGTTCGTGACCAACTTTGCATTGTGTATGGCAAGTTCGTAACACATGATTTTCCCCTACGGAAACCATATTGTGCATTGGACAAGAGGTTGTGGGTTTCCAAGTAAGCCATCAACTCCTTTTTGATGGTTTTCTCCATCACTTTGCAGCAGATTGATGTCAGACTGACGGGTCTGTAGTTTGTCGCCAGAGCACGACTACCGCTTTTGTAAAGGGGTGTACTGTGGGCCGTCTTCCAGTCTGTGGGAAGAATTCCAGCATCAAGTGATTTCTGGCACAGAAAGGATAGTGGCTTGGCCAGCTGTTGGGCAAGCTCAAAGAGCAGCTTTGTTGGGATCTCGTCCGGACCGGGAGATTTACATTCCTCCAAGCTTTTCAGTTCTTCCAAAATCGTCTCTTCTCGAAACACAATATTTTCGATAGTGGGATCTCTCATGTTCTCAAAATTAGATGGGGGAATGTCTGCTTCTCTTGTGAAAACGGGTCGGAAAAATTGAGAAAAGTGCTCAGCCTTATTTGTACTGTCCGAGATCTCCAAGCCGTCATCACCCCTCATAACAGGAATGCGATTCCTGTTACGTGTGTTTTTCCGCAAATAGCTGTAGAGCAATTTCGGATTTTTAACGGCTTGGTGGAGCAAATTACTCTCAAAATCCCGTCGCCTCCTGAAAATCAGACTTTTCACCTTATTTTTTTGAACTTTGTATTCCGTAAACGCTGCATTGTTGTTGTTCTTGCGAAATTTCTTCCATAACCTTCCTTTATTGTTGATCTCCTTTTTGAGTTCTCGTGTAAGCCACTGAGGGCGGTTGGATATCCTAGGCTTTGATAAGGGATAGTGGTTCTTCATTAGATGCAGTAAACGATCCTTGAATAAATTCCAGTCCTCGTTAACGTTTCCGGAGAAGAGAACATCCCAGTCTATTTGTGATGCCTCAGCTCTCATTTGGCGAAAGTTTCCTTAATATATATTTGGCCTCGTATCGTCTTTTGCACACGGTTTAGAATACAGCAAGTACTTCCATAAAAGCACTACATGATCACTTCGACCGAGCGGGGGTAGGTAGTACACCTCGTCTATACTGTCAGGATCTTTGGTAAAAACGAGGTCCAGACAACTGGCCTGTTGCCCTCCACGAGCTCTAGTTGGAAACAGGACACGTTGCGTGAGTAGAGCTTCTAGGGTTGTCTTTAGCAGATGGTAATCGAAGGTATTCATCGAGCACTTCGCATGCATATCGCTCCATTGAATGCAGGGTGCGTTAAAATCCCCCATGAGAACAACGTCTGGTCGGCTGGCGATCTCTTTTATGCTTTCAAGTATACAAGTATCTGGGTCGGGATCCGCCTGCGGGGGCCGGTAGATAGTTACGATTTCGAGGGACTGAGAACTTCGCGCCTTTATAGTCAGCCAAATTGCCTCTGTGTCGTTAGAAATCTTGTCGGTCCTCTCACACACTGCTAAGTTGCGCTTGACATACATGGCAACTCCTCCACCCGGCGGCCTCTCCTGTCTCCCCTAAACAAATGGTATCCTGTTAATGCTACCTCGCAATCACCAACGTACCCTGACAGCCACGTTTCTGTTATTGCTATAACATCGGGATGAGTATCGGCTACTGTATTCTCAGTTCGTCAAGCTTGGAAAACAGACTCTGACCATTGGTATAAAAGAATTTAAGTTTGCAACATTCGACAGTGCTTCGTTCGGTTTGTCTCGGGTTTGCCAATATTATGTTGCTGCCGCCATCATAATGACTGGCTGGTTCCAAAACAACATCGCGTTCCTCTGTATCACTCGTCCCCTGAAAATGGCCAAGTTGCTCTCTCCCGCTGCAAGTCTCCTCTTCAGCTCCGTTACCAATTCGCGGCGTTTCAGACGTTCCGCTAGAGAATAGTCCGGCTGACAGAACTGTCGTACGAACTCTCCAAACCACAAGCGCATACCTCCCATCCGTCATTTGAATTAGGGATAATGGCATCCGAATGGAAGACAGCGAATATTTACCTAATATATAAGGGTGGAGTTTGAATCACTGCGAGAAATTATCGGCCGACCGCCTAGCCTGTGTCTGCTGTAAAATCATGAAAACCACACTTAAGAGGACACTAATGGATCCTCTGGAGGAGAACCACCTACAGCACGGATTCAGACAGAATCGCTCTTATCTTTCCAGTCTGTTTCTCCCTAGCGAGCAGTGGATTAGCGCATTGAGCAAGGACGGTAGGGTTGACGTCATCTACACGGGTTTCAAAGAGGATTTCAACAGCTTCCCACAGAAACGCTTAATATACAAACTAAAGAAACACCGTTAACATGGGTCGCAGATTTTCGTAAAACGTGATTTTAAACTCTGTGCTAAGAACTCGAAATCAACCACTACCCCCTCTCTATGTGATTTCTCCAGGTCTCAGTCTTATTGCCGTTGTTATACCTGGTCTTAATAAATATGATAAATAAATATTTTTATTTAAGACCCATCGGAGTCCCATCAAAGCAAGTAAAAATAAATTTCCATACGGATTTTTAGAATCTGTACAAAATGCAATTCATAGTTTCTGAATTAGTAGTTCGTTAAGAAAAATGATGAGCAAGCAGTGAAAAAAAGTCTACTCAAGGATTAAAAACGGACTGGATTAAGTTTACAGGAGAAAAAACTGTCGCTTATAATAAGACAAAAATGCTGTTGGGCCTGGCCCGCATGTGGCGGTGTATAACGGATTATAATCGGACATCGTAAGCAAAAATAATTGTCAGTCTTGAGGGGTATATACGCGGGTCAGACTGGACTGGCCTGTATGTAGCATTGTATAAGGGATTAAAAACGGACATCGTCAGGGCCGAATTGATATGCTGGATAAGACTATTCGCGTCAAAGTGGCCAGACGAGAGGAACACAGACGCGATCGGTCGCAGTCCGCTTCAAGTCCAGCCGAGGAGGGACAAGGGAGATACGACCAAACCAGTAGTAGACGGCGAATAAAAAGGGTTCCGTCGTGGGCATCGACAGACCGCCTGAGGTCGAGATGAGGCGATGACATCAAGAATCGCAAAAATCTTCGCTATGGGAGAGGATTTATAGCAGTGCACTTAGTAACCAATTCAAAACAGGGGTTATAAAGACATAAGTGAGAGTTTTTGATTCATCTACCACTGAATCTGCCACTAAATCCCAGGAGATCCTTCTCAAACCAAAAAAGTTGCGTGTTCGGGAATGAGACAGTCAAAAGTGCCCTTTTACTTTCTGGTGTAAGGTGTTTGCGTAATTTCGACTTGAATACCGACAACTTAGGCGATGACCCAATTTCTGAAGGAAGAATATTCCAAAGGAGGACATCTTTGAAAGCAAAGAAGAGGGAGCGCTTAGATGTACTGCAAAGAGGCGGCGGAATCATCATGATGGAGTTGCGAGTGGCATAAGACCGATCTCTCGGAATGAGAGTGTCAATGAGCGGGGTACTGGAGCTATCGTTAATGCGAAAAAGGAAGCAAAGGCCAGCTTCGAGTCTTTTAACTCACAAAAACTTAATGCTCGTGAGTTTAAATCTCTGAGTATAAGAAGTACCGGGTGCGACTTGAGAGAACAGTTTCCGGGTGAAAATCCTCTGAACATTTTCAATTTTATTACGGTCACAAGCGTTCATCAAACCAAGGAAAGGCCAGCAGTATTAGAGGACAGGAGGAACAAACATTTGATAAAATTTTAGTTTCATTACTGGAAGGAAAAAATTATGCGATATAACCTCCCCCCTATCTTGGCGGCAACGACAGAGATTCCATCTGCATAAGGTGGTAAAGAGAGTTTATTTGTACAACTTAAACCTAGGCCTTTAAGAGGAAGCATTCTGAGAGTAGGTTGTTCCGAAAAATTATGGGGCCAGGAAGTTTGGCCGCACCAAAAGACATGAAATTAATTTGGATGATGAAAACTCCACTTGCCATGTTGAAATTCCCCTGTTTAAGCGTGGTAAATCGACATAAATTTTTTCAACACAAACATTTACGGTGTCCTTAGCACATGAGTTACCACACTTGAGGTCATCGGTATGAATAAAAGTTTGCGAATTTCTGAGTTCAGTCGAAAAATAACTGATGTAAAGAAGGAAGGTTAACGGACCCGGAACCGTGCCTTGAAGTACACCACTCGTGATCAAGCGAGGTGTCGAGTATCTATTACCGACCATGACTTTCTGATATCGGTTGGATTGATAGGACCCAATGGAGTCAAGTAGAGGCGGCCGGATGCCGTGAGCTTCCAATTTTACCAAAACATCTTGTCGAAGGCTTTGCTAAGATCAAACCAGATAACTACCACTGATAGCTGTTCATTTCGAAGAGAAATAATTAGATTAAGAAATGCCAAGAGACAAGATTCGCAGGATCGTTCAGGTAAAAATCCACCTGGGTTGGAGCTTGGAAGCCGAATAGCTAGACAGTGGTCAAGAATTTCATTGAAAATTATCCTTTCAAGAAGCCCTGCTAAAGACGATGTTTTGCGCACGCCCCGATAGTTATTGACATCAGACCAAGATACAGATTTGAAGACAGGAATAGTAACTGACGTCTTCCACGTTTCAGAAAAGAAATCTTTTGAAACGTTAACCGAGAATAAAGGACTAAGCAATATGGGACGGTCGGATGCCTGTTTAATAATCGAATTTTGAATCCCGTCCGTTCCTGAGCGGTGTGAGTTCTTCAAACAATTTATGTGTTTCTTAATGAGATCTGCGAAGACATCGATTGTACTAAATGTCCTGTCTGAAAGCAAACGAAAGAGACTGCTTCAGATTTAGTAGTAAGGTGTTTTACGAGAAAAACACTTGACAATTCCGCCTTGTCAGTGTAATAAATGAGGAAGATTCTCTTATCATTTAACAGGGATGGAAGCTCGAAACCACGCTTACAGGAGGACCGGTGACGGAATATGTTAGCGACGGATATTTCGGGGTTAGGATCACTGAGAGCAAGTGATTCTCTTTGCCTATCGCGACCTCGGCGAATCTTTGAGGCCATTTCAAAAATCGCTGTGATTGTAAGATGAACAGATTAAGAACTAGTGGATAGGTCATGCAGCTGCCGTCTCAACATTTTAGTCTGTTGGGAAGAAAATGAGGAACAAGGGACCCCAAATAGTTAGACTTGAAATATCTACTCCGCACAAAATCTAGCATGTGCTTTGAAACATCGGACATGACATCACGAAGAATGGTTTCATCGCTAAAGGAGAGAAAGCCACACAGATCCAATTATCCAATACAGTTCTTATTAAGTCGTTATCTACGCAGTCGTAATCTAGGTAGGTCCGAACTGGGCTGGTTCTTTAAAAAGAAAAGCGGTAAGCAACAATGAACTAATACGTAATCACTATCAAAGAGTTCCTTTTTGAAAGCAACAGAAAGAGGAGCAATACCATTGGTAAGGATTAGATCCAAAATATTACTATCTCTTACTGGAGGGCAGACTAATTGCGACCAGTTAGAAAAGATGGGCAATATCTTGGAGGGGTTGGAATCTAGGTCGACAGTTATTGGAAACCCAGTCTATTTCAGGAAGGC